TCCAGATAATCTCTGATAATTCTTGCCTGCGGGTATTCATGCCCTTATATATAGTTCCCTCCCATACTGACTGTAACAGTGGTGAAAGGAACAGTATGTGACCTTTAGTGTTAGGTCACAGAAGGCACTGTGGTCCACACCTTGGTCTCCTTTGGAACCAACCAAAGGAGAACAAACCAGCTGCCATCCAATGAGAACACTTCAGCCCTCCCATGGCAAACTGAGGCCCCCAGCCAACTGCCAGCATGACTCTGTCAGCTATGTAACAAATCAGTGAACAGCTGGCTGACATCTGACTGTAACCTCACAGGAAATTCCAAGCCAGAATTGCTCAGCCAAGCTACTCCCAAATTCCTGGCCCACAGAAATCACCATATAATAAGTGATTACTGTTCTAACATTAAGTTCTAGGGTTATTGTTATAACAGATACAATACAATAGAAACCAGGCCTCCAAGCCAGCCCCTGCAACTGAGGTGCCTGCACTCTTACACTGCCATAGGCCTGGCCGCTTGGTGTGCCTGTGCCCACACAGACTGCAAAGCCTAACACCCGGGCACTGCATGACAGGAGAAGCTGGCTCATGCCTTCAATGCGCAGTGGCAGTCGCTGCTTCAATAGGGTCTTCTTCCTGTGCTACCTATGTGAGCTGCTGCATGACTACCCAGACGTGGCCAAGGTGGTGGGCTGTCAGTGGTCATTTATATCAGAGGCAACTGACAAGTTTTTTAATCAAGAGAATTTGGTTGGTGCCCGCACAGTTCTACGAAATAAGAAGACTTGAAAACTCTGCCCCCCTCCCTGATTTGTAAAAATTTTGTTTGGACAGTGCAATAGAAGGGGTGAAAAGATGGCTGTGATCACCTTATTAACTGCTGATGGATTCCCAGCTTTTACCAGGTAAAGAGCTGGCTTTTCTTACCTAGAAGATTCACACTTTTTAGAAAATATTTTGTCTACTGAAAAAAAGACTGACAAAGTCATGAAGGCAAGAAATGTCACTGAGTAGTGATGTACAATTGCAATCTTTATAATATCCATGTGACTATTCAAAGTAGAAACACATTTATCTTAAGAACTATGTAGTCAGTAAGAGCCACTTGTAGGGTGTTGCCTGTTTGTAAGTCGGTATATTTGTAGTCCTGATGAATAATGAGGGTTGACTAAACCTGCTTGAAACTTTAACTTTGTGCCTATAAAAGTTATAATGCGGCTGGGCATGGTGGCTCATACCTGTAATCCCAGTGCTTTGGGAGTCCAAGGCAGGCAGATCACCTCAGGTCAGGAGTTCAAGACCAGTTTGGCCAACATGGTAAAACCCCGTCTCTACTAAAAATACAAAATTTAGCAAGGTGTGGTGGAAGGTGCCTGTAATCCCAGCTACTCGGGAGGCAGAGGTAGGAGAATCGCTCGAACCTGGGAGGTAGAGGTTGCAGTGAGCCGATACTGCACCACTGCACTCCAGCCTGGGCAACAGAGCGAGACTCCATTTCAAAAAAAAAAGTTACAATGTAGTGTTTCTTATTTCAATTGTATTTTAAAGCTCTCTTATTTTATCCTTCAGACCTTATAGTATACCCCAAATATAAAATTTATAATAAAGTATTAATGATGATGTTACCAAAACAAGGAAAAAATTTCACAAGGGTTCCCACTCTGTATTGTTTTATTATCTCAAAAGTTTAAATAAGATGTTCTACTGCCACTGTTTTCTTACTCTCAAGTGTTTCCTGATGGAGGCTGACTCATGAATTTCATAGACGTTCTGCTGGAATGTAAGGGTATCTGATTAGACGGTGGAATGTAGACTGAGACAACCTTCAAGTGATGTTGTCATCGTTTTCTTGCTATGTCATTACCTGAATGATTAAGGTTAAAAATTTTTTAAAAATCAAATGGCACTAGTTATGTTTCTCAAATTAGAAAACTATTTTAGTTATTTTAAAGAAATATAAAGCCATAACAAAAACCATTATGTTTTTGACTTCTGAGTGTTAATGAATGCAAAAAGATTAGAGAGTAGTATTTACTTAATGATGTTTACTTTCAGTATATTTAATATGAATACTTTTTCACCTCCTTTAAAGAGGAATGTTTATTGTTTAAAAATGGGAAATGATGATTAAGCCACCAAATCTATTTCACCATATTTGACTGTATTATGTATTGTGCAATGGATTTCATGTTTCATGTAATGTCTCAGTTTTCTTACCTATAAAATAAAAGCAGTGGCCAGGCATGGTGGTTCATGCCTGTAATACCAACACTTTGGGAGTGAGGCGAGGGGATCACCTGAGGTCAGGAGTTTGGGATCAGGCTGGCCAACATGGTGAGACCCTGTCTCTACTAAAAATACAAAAAATTAGCTGGGCATGGTGGTGCGTGCCTGTGATCCCAGCTACTCACGAGGCTGAGGCAGGAGAATTGCCTGAACCCAGGAGGTGGAGGTTGCGGTGAGCCAAGACCGCGCCATTGCACTCCAGCCTGGGTAACAAGAGCGAAACTCCCATCACACACACACAAAAAAAGAAGTGAATACAGCTACCAACCTTAAGAGCACGTAACAGCTTACCATGATTCTCTTAACAATTAATAAACTGTTATAATTCTATCAGTTATTACAGATTACTAGTACTAATGATCACAGTTGTCCAAAAGGCTAACAGTGAAATTATTATACTCTGATTTGGATGTGGTTGTTACAGGCATTATAGTTTTGGAAGGTGGTACTTTTCAAGGTGAAAATATTTTTCATGGTGAAACCCTGTATATGATCAAGTTGATCATGTACACAACATGGCTGTCTCCATTTTGTGAGATGCTAACTTCACAGGCATGCAAAATTCCTAATTTGCTAAAAATATTAGCAATGAATGTTTATCTATATTTCCCTCAATGTAAAGTTAAAGAAAAAGAAAAACAAAACTTGCTTACTTTCTGAAGATAAGTGTTGATGTTGTGGCTCTGACTATGGTGAAGTAAGGAACTGTGAAGGACCAAACAACCAGGAGAACTTGAAAGAGCAGCAAGAAATAAATCTCTCTGCTGAAATTCATTTCATTAACTTTCCCAAGGAAGAAATTTTAACAACTCCCCATGTGTCCAAAGAACTTAATTTCAACCAGTGCAAAAATGTAGCAAGATTTTTAGAAATACCGTTTTTAAAAGCTAGACACTGGGCACTGAATCTCAATTCTAAACAGAAAAGACATACTACACATGAATTCATGGAACTTGCCTGAGTGCCAAAAATTTGCTATTTCACCCTGGTTCTATGGGGAAAGTATTTAAGAGAACTGCCAACTATGCAATCTAGCTTCCTAAATTAGACCCATTCCATGTGTAAAGGAAAGTCACCTTTATACTCCAGAAAGTTCTTACTGCAGGCCAACTTCATGCCCAGCACTATGCAAAGAACTGTGTGAAGGTAGGTATATATAATTCTTGATATATCAGACATCCAGGCCACTAAAATATCTGAGTGCAAAGTAAATTAAAAAAAAAAACACACTGAAATGTTTGGTTTGTAGAAGTACCCACTGGCTCAGCCTTACTCTGAGCTAATATTTTCTTTAAAATTTTAATAAATAGGTGACACTTGAAAATTGGTTTAGAAAATTCCCAGTTATAGCTAGGATAATATTAAATAATAAACTTTCATCTATCTCTTCGGCAAGGTACTTTTATGATTTCATGTGTCCTTTCAGAGAATTCTATACATGTAGCTATAAAAATAAATTTTTAATTACCACCTTAACATAAATAAAACGATTTATCTTTCTGCTGCTCTATACCTAAGGGGTGTGTGTATGGTTATTAACATATTTTGGCAATTTTTTTCTATATCATATGCTAAACTTGCTATCCATATTTGGGTATACTTCTGATCTTTCTAGGTTGCTCAATAATCTATTTATATATTAACATCAAACTCTGAATTACTGTAGCTTTGTAATGTTTTGATATTGGGCCTAGTTAATTAATAAGCCCTTCCCCAATTACACTTTTGGAGAATTTTCCTGGCTCTTCTTGTATATTTCATTTTCTATATGAAATTTTGGATCACCTATTTAGTCCCTTCCCTAACCTCTAATTTTGGTTTTTAAAAACTGGGATCAGAAGTGCTATAGCTTTAAGCTCACACTTATCCTATAACATACAAACTAAGATTAAGCTTAACCATGTGCCATACTAATATATAAAAATTATCTTGACTTTTGTAGTTATCGAGAATTTTCCTCCATATGAAAACTGTTCATTTTTATTATCTCCTTTTTTTCAACTACCATGGTACCATGCAGGGGCCTATCTTACAACTCTCACATTACCCCTACACCTTGGACCCTCAGGCTGGCAAGGTGTCACTGAAACCTGACCTTCCATGTTTCCCAACCATTCCCATTAGCTCCAGATCCTTACATGACATGCCTTCCTTCTCAGTTTCTAATCTTCTCCCAAGATTTCTCTATGGTATATCTTGCTGGTGGAGAAAATTGTTTACTATACTTCCTTTCATTTATATTTCAGAATAACCATTGTTCTAATTTTCCAATTAAATGATAAAATTAAAACTTTTTCATACAATGTACATCCTGTCACTTACTTCATAGGATTTAAGTAACTTTTCCAGAAATAACAACAAATAAACACCCAAATGCGAAGCCAGTCACTGAAATGGTTTTCTCTGAATAATGTGCCTTTATCTATAATGACCAGAAAATATTCTCTAAATAAATTAAGATTGTGAATCTTCTTTGTAAGTAGGCAAATATTTTCATTTCCTTTTTCTAACTTCTCTTTGATTTAGAAAACTTATTTTCTTTCAAATAAAAAAAAAAAATGGACCAGGCATGGTGGCTTCCATTTGTAACCCCAGCATTTTAAGAGGCCAAGGAAGGTGGATCATTTGAGGTCAGGAGTTCAAGACCAGCCTGGCCAACATGGTGAAACCTTACTTCCACTAAAAAATACAAAAATTAGCCAGGTGTTGTGTCGGGCACCTGTAATCCCAGCTACTTGAGAGGCTTGGCAGGAGAACTGTTTGAATCCGGGAGGCAGATGTCGCAGTGAGCCAAGATCATGTCACCGCACTCCAGCCTGGGCAACAGAGCAAGAATCTGTCTCAAGAAAAAAAAAAAAAGTTAGCTTCTTTTATAAGTGAAATCACCAAACTTAGATATAATTGTTTTTGATGAGTTTTTTAAAAAAGCTTTTGCTAACATTATTATCCCTATAAAGTAACTATTGATAGCATAATCCAAAATTGATTTCATTTTCCTCCAAAAACTCTTTGAGAATCTTCTGTTGTTTTCTTTTTAGTGCATCTTGTTTCTTTTCAGAATTAAATTTAATTACTTTAGCTTTTCAGTCAGCATTCCAACCATATGTTTGACAGTGGTTGCAATGTCAAGTTTGGTATATATTTCTTTAAGATGTTTTTTTCTTTGAGCAGATCCAGAAAATATCATAAATAACTTCCAAGTTGTTCCAAAGAGAGTCACTGTTATTGGCAAAAGTCCTAGCAATACATTCAAAAGACTATGCATTACTTACAGCATAAAAAACACTTTTGGAATTTATGCCAAAATTCTGGCATGTATTCCTTTTCTTTTGTCATCTGTATTAGTAACATTATGATGGTCTTGCCCTTCAGATGATTTTGAATTTTAAAAATAAAACTGAAATTTTTAATTTTTTGAAAATTTAATGGAATCTTTTAATTTTTATTTTAAAGAAGCTATTCACAATTCTAATGTCTACTACCCATATAGTTGTCAATATAAGGAATGACTATTACATTTCATGTGCTTTACATCTAGACCTAAATATGTACAAGTGTAAGGGTAAAATGGATTGTTACTGTTTTTCAGCTAACATGCAACTGCTGTGGATACTGTGTTAATTTGTGAGCGCATTTGAAACCTGGAATTAGAACATGAAGAGAAGCAAGAAAAAGGATGCTCAGCACCATGGGGAAACAATGCTTCCTTATGCCGGAATCTACTGCATTCATACCCAGAGAGAGGCTCTGATGAGTTAATTTGCCCTCCCTCTTAAATAAAAGCTCTGCAGCTCAAACCTTCCCCTTGTCTTTACTTAAGCAGTGTCTGTCTAAGAAGTCATGGCAGTGCAATCCACAGAACTTCAAGGCATTCAGCAGCAGTTTTCTTTGGAGGAGGGGGGTGATAAATATATAGAGCAAAATTTGCCATTTTAACAATTTTTAAATGTACAAGTCCGTGGCATAAATTACATTAACAATATTGGCTGGGCGCAGTGGAATCCCAGCACTTTGGGAGGCCGAGGTGGATGGATCACCTGAGGTCAGGAGTTTGAGACCAGCCTGGCCAACATGGTGAAACCCTGTCTCTACTAAAAATACAAAAATTAGCCAGGCGTGGTGGCAGGCACCTCTAATCCCAGCTACTCAGGAGGCTGAGGCAGGAGAACTGTTTGAACCTGGGAGGTAGAGGTTGCAGTGAGCTGAGATCATGCCACTGCACTCCAGCCTGGGCAACAAGAGCGAGATGCTGTCTCAAAAACAAAAATGAAACAAAACAAAACCAACAATATTGTACAAGCATCATCACTAAATACTTTTCATCATCCCAAACAGAAGCTCTGCCCATTAAGCAATAACTTTCCCCACTGCTGTGACTTCTAATCTACTTTCTGTCTGTATGAATTTGCCTATTCTAGTAAGTGGGATCATATAGTATTTGTTCATTTGTATCTGGCTTATTTCACTTGGCATAATATTTTCAAGGTTTATTCATGTTGTAGCATGTATCAGATCCTCATTCCTTTTTGTGGCTGAATAATATTCCACTGTATGTATATACTGTATTTTGTATTCCCATTCATCATCAGTTGCCTCTTGATTCAAGACACAGTGTAAGAGATGTGGAGAAGTGGAACCTCAACAGTGTTTGTGATAGGAGATACCCTCTATACTGTGGGTCCTGGGGCAGGAGTCCTTCTGCCTGGTCTAAGAGCAGTAGTGCTGCCCCACAAGACTCACTGGTAGAGATGCTTGCTTATTCCAGCTTTTAGGATTCCTAAAGCACCTAGAACCAATAACTTAGTTTAACACTTAACTACAGAATGAGTTACTGTCACCCTTCTCACAATTAAATGTAAATTCCCTTTTTGTTCTCAGCTGTTGGTAGTTGATATAGAAGGAAATGAACACTGGTGCTGAATGTGCCAGTTACCGTGCTAGGTGAGGAGGCACCACAGATATTGTTTCTTCCCCTTCTCTCTTCTGCAGTGTCTAATGTTGCACTGACAATACACAGGAATTGAGAATTATTGCTGATTCACTGATTTGAAAATGCCTTCTTCCCCAAAAATGTGTGAGATACTCAACTCTCATTCTTCCTTGTTCATCAGAAAAAACTGATTTCCCTGGCCAGTAACAAGAGGCAAACCAAAGCTTATGGCCTCAGAGAACTGCGTTTCCTGATTGTAGATGGGAGAGGGGATTTCTTCTCCCTTTCTTCCCAAGTCTCATCTCTATCTGCATAATTGAGTGGAATCATCCTTCCAGTTGACAGTCTACATTAGGACACATTTCTTTGTACTATTTTTTCTTTGCTACAATGCTGAGAATTCATCTCTTTTTCCCAAGGAAAGTAGAATCACAGCATTCCTGTTTATCTGCTTTTATTTGGTATCATTAAAAAAATATATAAATTCTCCTCCAGGCAGGAAACATGTGAAGCCCCATCTTCAACTTGCAGGTGTCTAGCTTTTTTATTTATCCACAAAATATTATATTTTGGGAAGTTCTTAAGAGGATGAGAGAAAAGCTCCTCACTAAGAAGGCAGACAACTACAGTCTACATGGGGATCTGATGTATTTCATGGCTGCATGTGAATTTGTTATCCAAGAAGAGAACATATCTTCCAAATTTGAAAACAAGATGTCTAGACTCTTTTCCTAATTGATGACCACACATAAAAATGTTTCATAAAAACGTGTCTGAAACTGTACAGAAGCATACCACTAAAAAAAGCACTTTTGTCAGAAAAATTAGGTTGAAGAGAACACACATTCATCTAACAAACAGGTATGTCTTAATGTCCAATTATTCTGCTACTTGGGGTTCTTCAAACCTTGTTTTCCAAGTGGTTATTTCTGGTATCTAAATTTTTTTTAGACAAAAGCTTCCTGAATGGATAGTGATGATTCCGCGCCACCCCTACCACATAGTTTCATGTGTAACCTGTGATTTTCATAACAATTGCTTATCTAATATCAACTTGAGTCCTCATTTTTTCCATTTAATAGCTCATAAAATAGCCACATGAGTAAAATCTGCCTTCATCAAGTACCATGACAAAGAATAATATTCTACTATAATAGCATTTTATCCAGAGCCTAATGGTTGGGCATTGCTCCTTTGAATACTTTTTAAAAAAATTGCTGTCAAGAACAATTAGGTAGACAGAATGTACTTCTGTGATAAAAGTAACCATGATGACTGTTTTATACGTATTACCTAGTCACCTAAAAGCCACTTTGCAAAATGATTAGAGTTTTATCAGTGAAGTTAAAAGATAATCCTCAGAGGCTTAAAATTGGCAGCAAAATTCTTTCTTGTTGGTTACATGGAACTTTGTTCCACAGTGCTGAAAATGAGGTGCTCAGTGCAAAGGTCAATCAATTAAACAGGCATTTATTAGCTCCAATTATAGTTCCAGCATGATGGTAGGAGCTCAGCTTCATACTTTTCCCAGTATGCTTAGGATACTTCAATACGTTTGGTATATAACTACCTGCTGAGCATATTATTTTAAAACAGATACTACTCATGAGGTAGCTTGGGCATTATTTTGCCGTGGATTCCTGAGGAATCAATGATTAATCCTGGATAGGAATAATAAAGCAATCTTACGATTTCTTTTTGCTGCCCTGCAGTTATCCATATACTAATTAATCATAGGTAATGAAGTGTCCATTCATATAAGGCACATCAAGTTTGAGAGGACTGAAACTGGTTACAGAGATAAAAATTGGACTGTATCTTTGAGGCGGCTACTGTCTCTTCAGGCCATCATTCTGTATACATGTCCATCCATTCATCCATCTTTTATGTTGAGCTACGAATAAACAAAAAGTATTATCCTTTGCTGAGAGAGGAACCAAGATGATTAAGATCCCTTGGTCTACCTGAGGATGCAGGTCCTCACCAGGTGTGGATCAGATCAGGATATATAATGTATCTTGGAGCAAGTGGGTCAAAGCTTAGGACTAGATTCAGAAGGAGAACAAAGTCAAGGAAAGAGATGGGATCTGGACTCTTACTACCATACCCTGTATCACCAGGAACTCCTTGGACCCGTACCTGTCTAAACTTGAACATCCATTTCTTTCTCTTCACCTTACCTCTAAAACATGTATGAGTGCTAAGAAGCTGCCTCTGGATAAAAGACAGTGGCAAAATTCTCCCAATCCAGTGCATGACAAATACTGCTACCAAAATTTAGAAGGGCCTCAGAGAGTTTGTTCATATAACATTACACTATTTTTCTTTCCACTGGGGAGAAAGAAACACTTTCAACTGAGGCTTGAAGAAAAATATATAACTATCAGATGCTGAGATAACCTGAACCATATACAGTTTCCAGAAATTGCTTAAGATAAATTCTGTATACGTTCTCATCTATCTTGAATAACTTACAGTTCTGCTGAAACAGACTAAGAGAATAAACCAAAGATCATACTAGTTACCATAAACCAAAAATAAAATTCTAAGGCCTCCCCCAACCCCCAACCATCTGAACAGACTTTCTCCTTGGCCAGTGCACTCTAAAATGTAACCTGAAAGACTAGTTGAGGCCATAACGGGAAGTGGGAGCTGGACGTTCCACATTATACATGAAGATCATGTATGAACATCAACACAGACCTTCAGTCTGATAAGAAACATTTATAGTCTATTCTCTCTGAAATCTGCTACCTGAAGGCTTCATCCACATAACATTTTTGGTTTCCACAACTTCTCATAACCCAGACATTGATTTCTATTGATAATAACTCAACCAACTGCCAATCAGAAAAATTTTAAATCTACCTATAACCTGGAAGCTCCTGACTCTTCCCCGCTTCAAG